TTTAATTAATAATTATGGGGCTCAAATGTGAAGTTGTCACAAGTTATATTGGAATTTTATACCTGAAAGTCAAACAGTCTATTATAGTAAAATAAGCATAGGGTAGGGCGGGGCACAAAAGTCCAATTTGACTTTGAGCAATTATATTGTGAAAACCAAACTATATCATAACAAACAACTTTCTGACTGTGTTCATGAATATCGAAAAGTAATAGCTTTTTCATCATTGCAGAAATAGTTCTTTCTTTGCTGTTTCTCAAAAGTTAGTCACTTTATGGGTGGGATAAAATGGGACGGCCAGGGGGCAAATAGGTCCAATCACTTAATTATAAAAAATCTTTTTAATTATAAATTTTTTTTACGAAATAATAGCTACGTTATTTTACCCTGGCAAATTATAACACTTTTGCCAGGGTGAAAGTTCAGTTGGTCCTTTTACCCCATCCACGTGTAAGCTTTTAAAGAGGTTATATAAAAAAACGGTTGAATCTAAATTAACATTAACAATACATTTTGCGTATATTTAAAAATTATATTAAGGTCTCGTAAACTAAGTAGTGTTCACAACCAGTAAAACCAACAACGAGAGAAATTACTTTTATTAAGAATTTTCATACATTGTCATTTATCTCATGATAGCAACATCTTAAGAATTGAGGTGATAGCCGGTTATACTTATTTTTCTCAACTTTCAAATATTTTTGTTAAAAAATTCGTAACCTTACTTGTTTTTGAGATATCGATGGTAGGCCTTTTTTCCGCTTTACCCTATGTAATTTTTTATATTAGCAATGGTATGTCGCAACTTTTTTCAACAAATATCTAAGGTTAAAACAAAACCTAATATATCAAACTATTACTCTACTTTGTTATTGCAGAATTATTTTGATATAATATTAATTACTTGACTCAGAAATACGTGGATATTATCACTGACAATAGCGCAGTTATATGCGAAATAATCCTTTTTACAATATCATTCCGCAACATTCATTGCGAAATTCTACAATAATTGATTTACTTTGCATAACAAGAATTCAAAAATTACTTATTCATGAACAATTTCTAAACCAACGTATAAATCTTTTGTATATGCAAATTATTTACTTTAATGAAATTGTATCTACATGCTGGTGTATGCGTTCATTTACATTTTATAAACGGAAAGTGATATAGATATATGTTCAACAGAACATAAATATATTGTTCATTCCATCGTAACGCGAATGTTACTTTTTTATTAATGCTACAATTTATATTTTTATTTGGTTCGTACACTCATTTCGATATTTATATCAAGACATAAAATTTCTGCTTTGAATTATATACATCATGTTAAGTGAATATAACATTGTTGTCTTAAAACTGCATCAAAATAGAACATATATGCAATAAATGCTCACGACACGATGATTTAGTGATGATAGTAGATCGCAGACTGTTGTAAACATTGTCGAAAAGATCTAAATGAGAATTTTATTTAAAGAACTTACTTACTTGAAAAAGAAGTAAACAAAATCTTTAGTCAATGTGCTTGGCACCAGTGCTATGTAATAAGTCTTATTGGTAGTAATTATGATCTTTTTCCATACACACTTTGAAGGAATTGTATCCAACTGTCCGACCGTGCATTTTATTTATGTACCTACATGTACATTTATAAAATATTTGTGAAAAATAGCATATAATAAATGGTTTTGTTTTTAACTATCGAAATGGCAGCAAACACAGCGTTCATTCGTACACCATGTAAATTATAGGTCAAAATCTTCAAGGGCCAAAATTTCAAGATTTTTCAAAATTCTATGGTTAACCTGAGAAAAGCTTTACCTTATTTGTGGTTTTATTAAAGATGCATTTAAACAACCGTAATTTGTTTTGCAATTTTAATTACTAGTTACTACGTCTAAGATATATTATTTTCAAAAATTGACGTATTGACATTGCTGAAAAGAATGATTAGAGATGAACAACTATGGATGTAGCATTTATTTTTTCACATCTCCTATGCTTGACAATATCTTTAGTACGATCATTACTTTTTATATGACTTGTTTTACGAATTTATCACATCAGTTAGTTTCGCTTTCTTCGGACATTTTATGATACCAAACACCTTTGCTACATATTTTTCCAATTTACTGCAAATGTTCGTGGATGGTCGGACAAGGCATTTTAGATATTTTGGCAACTGTTCGGCCGTCTGACACGTCTAACATAGTATCATATTGCTGGACCTGATTTATATTGTCAGACTTGAATCTGAAAAATCATTTTTAGACGTTGTATTAAGATGATGTTTATTTTTTGTGGTAAATGTTAGTATTGCTGTGCACACTTCAATAAAATCATTCTCACTTACAAGGAGAATCTCAGGTTTATTCTACTGGGGTTTTGATGAAACTTTGCATGATGATAGAGTTAGTAGTTAATCCGAACAACTTAAAATATTAAGCCTATGAGAAGCAGTTTAATTATTTAATTTAATTGAAATATATCAGTTTTTATTCGCAAAATGTATGTAATGAGTTAACAATTAACACATAAAAGTAAATAATAAAAACATTGCGCGCGGATTTAAATTCTATTTTTTTTTCAAATCTTTAATTAATTTTTATAATTAAACTAACTTTTCATAGGACTACAATATTTTAAGGTGCTCGGTTTGACTGTCAAACCTGAGGGTCTCCTTGTTAGTCTAATATGATTTATTATTGGAAATATTACTCTATAATCTCGAAATAGACTTTTTTCGATATTCATGAGAAACAATGAGCAGACAAATGAATACCAAGCAACATGTGCCCTTAATAATTCAACTTAAATATTTTTTTAACTATAAAGTATAAAATAATATAAAAATAACTGGTGATAAAAAACGCTTCGTTTTCTTTTCGATTAGTTCTGGGGTAATGACGATCATTTTATTGAAAAGTCCAGTTTTTTTAACACACTCTAATTGCTTTTAATTGAAAATTTCGAAATAATTTAAAAATTCTTTTAAATAAAAGAGATAATAAAAAAGTTACTATTTTTAACATATCTCAATTCATAATATTTGTATTTTCTAATTCCTTGATATCTATAAAAGAGATATGCAACTGGTGAATTAGTAATGTTCTTTATCATGTTTTTAATATTAGATATTCATATCAACTTTTTACAAGTTCAATTTAGTGCCATCTATATTAACATTTCCATATTTAATTTAGTCATTTAATTAAAAAATAAAAATTTAATTTATCGCTCCGAAATAAAAATATTTTAAGGGCAATATTTTACGACTTGGAGCGATCCTTGTTCGTATTGTCATAAAGGTTTAATACATTTTTATGTAAATAATTTTTAGCTCCGTCTCTAAGAAAAGTTCGATCTCGTAAATGTCTGATTGTGAGTGCAATTTCATCTGCATCGTATACATGAAGATTCGCAATAAGAAATATTTGTATTTTATATTCTCTACACGATATTTCGTGTTTGCTCGTCGTTAGATTGACTTCTCAGGGCAGATGGAGGGAAAACGTCTCTTGAGCTCATTACGTATGGTTTTATCGTTTTCGATGAAGTTGATTGCTGCATGCAATAAATCAATGAAAAATACCTTAACAATCATATAAAATATATTGTTCTCTTTTGTCTCATTATATACCAAGAGAATTTTACTGCATGATAATTAAAATCTTATAATTTCTGTCGTTTTGTGGTGCTCTTTACCTTAATTGACTTTAAGTTTCAATTAAATGATCTATTGAGATTTTTTTGTATAACCCAGCAGTAATTTGCAAACATATTAACTCTCCCTTGTTCCTGGATAATATGCAAGCATGTTTGCAATTAAATATCTGAAAATATGTTTGCAAATTATTGCTGTATTCTACAAGAAAAACTTAATAGATCATTTAGGTGAATACTTAAAAATCATTCAAGATAAAAAGTGTCAAGAAACGACAGAAATTATAAGATTTTAATTATCATGCAGTAGAATTACAAGCTCGTAAATTTTGTCTTTTTTTATTTTATTTTTTAGCCATTTGACACCCAATTTTGACTTTTGAGCAATCATTGTATAAGAATAAACATCTTCAAAGTAGTCTGCATTTAGAATTCGAATCAAGCACTAAAGTACTATATCAGATAAAAATCAAAATAACAATATTAATCATTAACGAGTCTACTGAGTTCTCAATATAAAGCAAATTATTATTATTTTTTTTTTAATTTTTACTATGGTCATATGAGGCAAGGACATCGTAATTCAACCCAGTTGTTATTAATTTATTAGGATAGTAATTTATTAGTGTATTACTCTCGATTCATTATTAAATATATTTTGCATCGATTTTTTTTTCGAAAATTGTTTTTTTTTGAAAATCACTCTCAAACTCAGATTTTATTTTATATTTTTAAAATTATGATTAACGTGCGCAAAACCTACACGCTGCACTCTCAATTTGCATTTTTGTGAAGCATATAGTATTTTGCATTGTGTGTGAAGTTCATTTTTGTATAATTTATCACAGACTGGGCTTCATGTGCAAAAGTTTCCAGTTCTATCGCAAAAAGTAAATATGTTTTACAAATGACTCTAATGTTATGACATAAAAACGCTTTTTTATATGTGTTCAACAAAAAACTAAAAGTTACGATGACTAAGGGTAATGAAATAAATGATATGGCAATTATGCATGTAGCCGGTGATAAAAATGTTCACAATTTTATGTGATGTGTAATTTTTTATTTTTATATTAATTACTTCGTGTTAGTATGATTGTATAAATTTGATTTTAAATAATATGATAATTTATTATGCATATATACATAGGCTTAATGTACATTTGCTGCAAAAAATTTGAAATTAATTTAAAGTTTTTAATATTGAAATCGTGTATCGAACATGTTTGAATTAAAAACAGTATATCTGTCTTTGTAACAATTTATTCGAATTTCTGTTTAAATATGTGTCAAATGTATAATTTCTAACGTTGTTTTTTTTGTTTCAGGTGACCAAGTACTTGCATTCAAAAGTCCTCCAGCAACTAATTTAGGTGGTATTCATCATACCTCACCCACATCCGCGACTTCCCCAACTGGTCATAGCTTTTTAGACCCTACCGATTCAGTTTTACTGAGATTGGTACATCGTATAACATCCTCCTTCCATCCTTATGATGCTTCCACAACTAACAGTATTGCTACATATTCAGAACCAATTGAGGAAACTGAACAAAACTCATCTAGCGTCAGTTCTTCTCTGAATGACGATCAGCCAGATACAAGCGAAGGAGCACCAAGTTTACCATCCGATCAGGAGAACGAAATGGGGTCTAATGTAAGCAGACATAATGGCAAAGGCCTCTCGGGCAGAAGGTCGCAATCCAGCGGCAACTTGTGTGCCAATGGTAGAACTGGATCAAAATATTCGAAAGATTCAACCTCCCCAAATAGAGTAGCCACTAGAAGTAAATTTTGTGGTTCTTTGCCGAATCAGTTAGATGCAGGTCAGTTGCAAAATGAAGACATCGAGGAGGAGTCCGATCATGATAATGCGGTGTACAATCATCCGGCAATGGATAGAGTTGAATACATGACTGTAGCACCATTACCGAGGAAGCAACCATGGGGGCAGCCAATGTTGCAGAAAAATAACACGTTCAAATGCGGTAGGGGTTAAATTTTCAATTGCAAATAAAATGAGCCTTTTATGAACAGTGAGAAACATCTCATGTAGATACTTTCATATGTATACTGATATTTAATTTTTTAACAGAACATTGAATTGTAAGATGAAATTACATTATTTATTTATTATCTTATAAAGATTTTTTTCGAAAATTATTTCAAGAAATATAACTAGCAATTTTTGTTTCATAATTTTACATAACTACAATAATATCAAATAATGTTTTTATATAATTCAAAAAAGAAATTTTACATATGGGTCATTCTTTTACAAACCGTACACCAACCATACCTTGACATTTTAGAATTGGCTGAATTTTTTTTTATAGATATTATAGATAAAATCATTTGACACGCATTTCAGGATTTTGCCGGCAAAAATTTTTTTTCGTTGATATTTACGATTGAAATATTGCCGATTTTCTCAATTTTTATGAACTTCCTCTGCATTATGTTAATTATCTTCAGTTGTGTTGATCAGATCAGTATTGTTTTTTTTATTATATTTGTAACAGCCTTCCCATCGAATTGTGAAAATGATTTTGTAGTAGATAAAACAAGAAACAAAATGATTTTTTAAGCAATCGATTTAAGTTGGGGCGCGCGTATGTAAAACCAATGTAAACAATCAATTGTTATTATTGTTAAAATAATTGCAAAAACATTTTTTTTTTAAATTACTTCAAAGTTGAGTTCATAATAAATATAATAAAAAAACAATACTGATCTGATCAACACAACTGAAGACAATTAACATAATGCAGAGGAAGTTAATAAAAATTGAGAAAATCGGCAATATTTCAATCGTAAATATCAACGAAAAAAAATTTTTGCCGGCAAAATCCTGAAATACGTGTCAAATGATTTTAACTATAATATCTATAAAAAACATTTCAGCCAATTCTAAAATATCACATTTTTTTTACCAAAATCCGTACGATTTGTAAAAGAATGACCCATATGTAAAACCGCGTTTGCAACCAATATGCTAAAAGATATTTATTAAGATTTATTTATTTTGGTAGTTGCTTTTAAGGGGTATTCTAGTATAGACGCATGAATTTCAGGTCATTTTTAAATCATCGTAAAAATGGCAATCAATTTTTATACTATCATTTTTTTTCTAATTTCTTTATAATCATTATAATTAAAATTAAAACAAAAAAAGTTAATAATTTTAAAAATTAAAAGTGGTTGAAGTGGGGAGTCTCAAAAAGTTGACAAGTGACGGTATCCACGATTGCAACCTTTCTAGTAATCCAGTATGAAAATAGAAAAAAGATTAATAATCTGGAATGATGTCGCAATGGTTTATACTAGGATTAAGTTATAAAATACATTATTGACAAAATGATAACTGTTCGAAAAAAGATCCATTTTTTACCATCTGTTTGATTTCTGTAATTTTTTTAAAATAGTAAAAATCAAAATTTGGAGATGCGGCTAGTGTATTTCTGATAGAAGTCTGTAAGTAGTGCTTGAAAAATCATAGGCATCGCATTGAAAAAAAAAAGTTTTGAGAAAAACGCGTTTACGGTTTCGCAATAGGAAGAAAACAGAAGGGAATTATCATGGTCAATCGGCTGTATCTAATAAAATAATTTAAATTTTAAAAAAAATTCTCGTACACATATTTTTAAATAGTTAAACTTTGAAAATATGAAAAAAGAACTTTTTTTTGAATTCCTACACTGGAATACCCTCTTAAATTATTATTATGAGGTAACGTTCAACTCACGTATAGAATCGTAGGAGTCGTGGCAGTAAACTTAGTTTATTTTTCATATTGCAATTGAATACATATATATTCTACTATATCCTACGTAAGTCCATGGCAAAAGTTTCCTCAATCTAATCATTTTACATCACTAATGATTTAATATCCTTGCTTTATGTCATATTAATTGTGAATAATATGAACTGAATCTTTCATTCAGTTTCCGATGTTCCAATTTCACTTTCATTTATAAATTTAATAATAATAAAATTCATTATCATCAAATGTTATCTAATATCTAATAAACCCCCAACAAATCCATAACGTTTTCCTAATATTATTCTAACAGAGCGACCAAAGCCAAGAGACCGTTTGGACTTGAAATTGAATCACGCGCCATGGCGGGGCTCGGACGGCGGATACGATCAGGGTTACGGATCGGAACGTTCCCCCGAGGAAGAGTATCCGCCATCGATGCTCGGAGAGTCTTCCAGGAGAGTCGCACCTGTAGACGGCGATCCGCATGATATATACCCATTCATCACACCTGGTGAGTTTAGAGATTTATTAAAAATTCAATGCCACGTTCTGTTTCGGCTATGAACCAGATCGCAGTTGATGCTTTTCGTTGTAGTACAAACCTGTAGCGATGTCGTTTCGATATATCGAATATATACTATGAATTGCATTAAAGTTTGTATCGTTTCAAAATAATTCTTTGTGGTTTACGGTCATTGGATCATCTTATTGAATTTTACCTTTTTTAAGGTTTCGTACGTGTTCAGAAAATAAAATAATCAATTACGTTGTCTGTCAAAACCAATTTTCTTTTAAATTTATAGAGGTAGGAGCCTGAATTGACTTATGAATTATAAATCAGTAGCCTCGCATTCAATAAAAGTATTTACGATGATTTTCCTGTTGTTTTGGATGTTTTGTAAAACATTATTTTTTTTTTTTTTTAATTACATTTGTGAATTACAACCCGTCCTTCTAATACAACACTCAGTAATTTTGAAGGTTTATGAAATAAAGGAAAAAGGTCGAAAGGTCGCTCAGTGGTGATCCGATTCGATGTTGGATATATTTAGCTTATAGATGTAGTTTTGATGTGAAAATATTTAATTAAGCCTACGAGTAATTGTACATATTATACGATATCAAAAAGGGGCCGTTTTCTTCTGAACCGTTCAATGCCATGGTTTTTTTATTAAATTTTTGGCCATGACGTTTGCGTGATTCTGTATTCTACCTTTGTATCTCAGACTTAATTTTTTAATTTCTTCCTTAACAGTGTCCAACCAATTTTTGGGATATACTTGGGAGCGTTTATAATTTCTTTCAAAATCTTGTTTTTAAATCTTTGTATTATGGCGATGTTGGATTTGCGCGCCGTTCCCCAAAGCTGTATTCCGTACGTCCAAATTGGTTTTAACATGACTTGTGTGCTCAACTGAGATTTTCTGTTTAACAACCAGTATAGTTTTCTTCTCATGATTTCTAGCTGTTGGAAACATTATTTGTGACAATTTGATTTGAGTCATACACTAGTAGGGTAGAGCGGAGATTACAGGTCAGCGAGTAAAAGTGTCCACCACCGATATCTCAAAAAAGAGTAAAGTTAAGAACTTTTCAACAATAATATTTGAAATAAAAGTAAAAAGATGTTTTAACCAGCCATTACCTTGGTTCTTACGACGTCGGTATCGAGATGTAAATGGGTTATGTATAGTGTTATCTCTATAAAAAATGTACCCATGAATTTTATATTTTGCGTTGATTGAATAATGCAGCTATTATTTCGTAAAATTCCTTTAAAATTGAAAATGAGACATTGGTTCTGGCTGTCCAATTTTACCCCGCCTATAGAGCCTAATTTCTAACGTGATTTAATTATTATAAATATATATCATTATTATTATTATTATATATGCCAGCTTTTTTTAATAACTTTTTCATCACCTTTTAAACGAATTCATTTTCTTTCGAATTCATCGAACATAATAACACACGATGAGATGATTCATTTAAAAAAATAGCTATATGAGATTGATTTATTATTAGTTGTTGCTGTTTAAATAGTAGTAAGTTTTATAGTCTAAGAGCCAGTGAACTATTTGACTAACCTGTTTTCTCAAAGCTAGAAATTTTTTTAATGATATTTTATTATTGGTACATTAAGAAAGTGCCGGTCTGGCAAGCATTTAACGATTGCGTCATCATCCCTCGAGTTTTTGAAAATGTAAAAAAACTCATTTTTTTAACTTGCTTTCACAAGGCTCAAATTTTGAGGGAGTATTCTTGTAACTGTTCAGAAAGCATATGTAGAAAGCCAGACCATTCTGACGATTGCAAGGGTCTGCCAGACGAGTACATAATAGTCACGACGCGCAAGGGTGTGGGCGCATTGCCATACATGATCGACTAATACCCTTGTATTTGAATAATTTATACGCCATTTTGAAGGTCATTTTGAAAACATCCGATATACCAAACTTCAACTTTGTATCTCACCTTATGGCCGAGATATCATTGAAAATTTGCCAAAGTGGCCCCTTTTTCAAACTCAATTTTTGGCGTAACCATAAAAGATATCGAAAAAAAAATTACGTGATTCTACTCATATTGGCTTAGGCCGCTTAATGTATAGTAATATATGCTAAATAACCCTTTATTATTAGCTAAAAAGGATAAAATAATTTTTCAATTAATGTTTTCGGATAGTGCGTTTTGTTCAATTACTTTCTTATTAGCGTTATTCGAAAGCCTATTGTTTTTTCTTTTGGTACTGCAAAAATGGTTCAAATCAAATTTGTGGAACACATTGAAAAATTGAAGAAACCAGAGTTTATATACCCGCGCATTGCGCACTGCTATCCGATAGAACGAATTCTATGCGGGCTACTATTAGCGTTACGCGCGGTGTACTGTGCATAGAATTCGTTCTATCGGATAGCAGTGCGCAATGCATTACGCGCGGGTATACAAACTCTGGTTTCTTCAATTTTTCAATGTGTTTCACAAATTTGATTTGAACAATTTTTGCAGTACTAAAAGAAAAAACAATAGGCTTTCGAATAACGCTAATAAGAAAGTAATTGAACAAAACGCACTATCCGAAAGCATTAATTGAAAAATTATTTTATCCTTTTTAGCTAATAATAAAGGATTATTTAGCATATATTACTATACATTAAGCGGCCTAAGCCAATATGAGTAGAATCACGTAATTTTTTTTTCGATATCTTTTATGGTTACGCCAAAAATTGAGTTTGAAAAAGGGGCCACTTCGGCATATTTTCAATGATATCTCGGCCATAAGGTGAGATACAAAGTTGAAGTTTGGTATATCGGATGTTTTCAAAATGACCTTCAAAATGGCGTATAAATTATTCAAATACAAGGGTATTAGTCGATCATGTATGGCAATGCGCCCACACCCTTGCGCGTCGTGACTATTATGTACTCGTCTGGCAGACCCTTGCAATCGTCAGAATGGTCTGGCTTTCTACATATGCTTTCTGAACAGTTACAAGAATACTCCCTCAAAATTTGAGCCTTGTGAAAGCAAGTTAAAAAAATGAGTTTTTTTACATTTTCAAAAACTCGAGGGATGATGACGCAATCGCTAAATGCTTGCCAGACCGGCACTTTCTTAATGTACCGATAACAAAATATCATTAAAAAAATTTCTAGCTTTGAGAAAACAGGTTAGTCAAATAGTTCACTGGCTCTTAGACTATTAATATAGCATTGTTTAAACAGTTTTTTGGTTCTTCGTTGCCGAATAATTCAACCTGATTTACTAGTTCCGTACACTTTTATAACGATTTTTAGTCTTTGCGTTTTTACATCCGTTTGGGTTATTATCTTCTGAAATAATCACCACAGGTTTTCATTTACATATTTAAATTTAAAGCACGCTTTTACAATTATAAAAGCAGTCAGATGAGAAAAACTAAAGAAATTTGTAATAAGATTTTTTTTCTTCATGTAATTTTTCTAGTGCTGATTCTTTTTATTTCAAGGGAATTTAGAACTTCTATAGCAGGGCTTTAGATTCGTTTATTCTAATTTTTCATGTTTTGGTCCATTATTCTATAATATTAAGGCCTGATGGCAACATATGTGAGGCTATTCTTGGATCTTTATTTGATGCTAAGATGGCTATATCATCGGTGAGAGTAGCTATTGTAGAGCTAAGTCCAGTCGAAATATCATGAGTATACAATAAATAAAGGAGCTTAGTACGCTGCCTTGCGGTACACTAGTTTTCATAATTTTAAGTTGGGTTATTGCTCAAACAAGATTCAAACTCATGATTCAATTCATATGATAGTAATATTGTAACAGATACATAATTTTGATTTTAAGTTCTGTTGTTTTTTATTTATTGAATTAATTGTGAGGCTTTTCCTAACATATATCAATTTATTGAAAAATCCAAGACTCATCTTATAATATATATATATATATATATATATATATATATATATATATATATTTATACTTTGTATGTTGCGCAGATCACTTGCCTCATACGAATAGAATCAATATGCAATGATACCGTCGGCACGAATGTTTACATATGCTATTTATAAGTTTGCAAATTGTTATTGTACCTGCATGTTGTACTCATATGGCACCAAGTATATAATAGGTACATGGTACATAATATATTGCAGTACGATGCATTCGCTCTATCCGTCATTCACGCAAAATATAATTGTTAATTAGGATCACATCATATTATGTTCATTTATCGGACACGTGTGTACTCAATAATTCATCAAACGTAATTAATAACATTAAAATCATAATTAGATGCCTACTTATCGACTGTAAACAATTGGCTTGCTATGATTATTATTACGCTTGTATTTGGTTTTACATATTTGCCAGGTTTGTAATACCATAGTATTCTGTTTTAAAAACACACTAAAATATTCCACTCATGTTCAATATTTGAAAAATAACATTCGTTCTGCACTCAAACAGTACTCAAAAAATTCGATGAATGTAAAGTTATTGTAATAGGAAAAAGTATACTAATTGTAACGGAATACTATGAATTCATGGTTATCATATATTTAAGTGGAGCAAAAACTTTACTAGTAGTAATGATGGCAGTATGTTTTTAATAGCTCTTTTCATACTTATATAAGTTAATTGAAACAAATACATATATATGCAAACAATATTAAATTATGATAGTATAATGATATTCCCAGAATAGGTGTATACAATTTGTATCTTTATGTAAAAATCAATGTATGTATTTAAGTCAAATAAAGCAAATTTTCAAATTAAAAAAAATACTAGTAGTACAGAAAGCTTGAACTATACGATCTATCTAAAGAAATTACAGATTAATACTTATATGAAACCATCAAAATACCTATATGTAACCCATCTTTATTATTTTACTTGCCTAAATGTTACATCTATTGACCTTTATTAACTTCCCGTAGGGCAAGTTATAGTAATCGCAAAAAAATCGAAAATGAAAATTTTTATATATCTTTACGTTTCAAAGGTTTCTGAACATTT